CTTTGTCCTTGTATTTGCAAAGTTTAATTATGCCATGTCTTGGTGATTTTCTTTTAGAGTCTGTCCTGTTTGGGGTTTGTTGAAATTCTTGAATGCATATCTTTTCATCTTTCATTGTGTTAGGGAAGTTCTCTTCAAATTGTCCAATCTTTGCCAATTTTATCTGTGATTTTGCTTTTCTCTTTCTTCTGGAATTCTGACCACACATAAGTTATTCCTCTTGATGGTATCTCACATTTCTTTATATTCTTTTTGTTCTTTTATCTGATTGTTCCCTTAACAAGGTAGTATTGAGAGATTTGTCTCCAATCTCACTGATTCTGTCTTCCATTAATTTGATTCTACTCCTTTGGTCTTTTAATATGTTATCTTTTTCTGAAATTTTAGTATTAATTTTCTAGATTTTTATTTACTGTTTTTTTTAATGGTATCGAATTTATATTTATTTTGTCAGTTTGTTCTTGTATTGTTTTCCTAAATTATTCTAGAATTTTGTCTGTATTTTCCTTAACCTTGTCAGTGTTTTTCTAGATTTTTGTCAGTGTTTCCTTGATCTGTCTCTCAATCCATACTTAAATATAATTCTTTTGAATTATGTATCATGTAGTTCCAATGCCACTTCTTCGTCAGGGAGATTTTCTGGCTCTGTATTCTGGTCCCGTTTGTACCACTTTATCTTGCTTCTTTGTGTGAAGTGGTATTGTCAGTTGTCTCTGAGACATTGTGATGACATTGTATTTATAGTTAGTCGGTAATTGAATGTTGCTGTGATTTGCTCAGGATTTTTTTTTTTCTTTGTTTTGGTATGTCTGAGAGAGTATGGCTGATGTGCTACTCTATTCACTAGTTTGGCAGTACTTAAGGACTCACTACCTGTCTCTTGGTGGATGTAATAAAGGATGAGAATGTGTGTCCAGATCTCTATTAGCTCTTTATATAGAGCTGTTGAAGGTGGGTTGGACTGGTATTGGCTGCTATCATTGATCAGTTGGTGCAGAAGCAGGTGCTGGCCCTTGCCCAGTGGTTGGGACTGTAGGAGGTGTGGCTATGGTTGGGCTGTGTGCATGTGTTTGTGGTCATCTGCTAGGTGGCATAAGAAAACAGAAATAAAAAACAATACCAAGAAAGATTGAAACAAGAGAACAGAAAACACAACATAAACCAACAGCAACTGCAAAGAGGGAAAAAATAAATGAAAAGATAAAAGGGGAAAAAAGACCAAAGAAGGACAAAAAAGAGAAAAACCCTAAGCCTGAGGAGGGTGAATAAAGAAAAGAGAGCAAGAGAAAAAGAATAGTAAAGAAAAAATAAAAGAGTGAAAAGAAAAGAAAAGATGAGAAAAGCAAGAAGATAAAATGACAGAAAAGAAAAAAAAAAAAGGAACCAGAGAAAGGAAAAAACAAGAGCCAGGGACTTGAAAAAATTTCAAAAATAAGAAGAAAGGAGAGAATAAAGAATAATTAAAAAAAGAAAAGAAAACTAGGGAGAGGGCAGGATACTTGGGTGCTGTTCTTACTGTCCAAGCAGGTGGTTAGGAACAGTACACTTGGTCCTGGCACTAGTTCTTGCTTTCTCAGAAGACACTGGTGGCAGGGCACCTAATCCCAGATGAGTTCCTGCTGACCCAGAAGATGTCTAGGGGTAGGGCACCTGGACCTGGAAAAATTCCTCCCTGCCCAAATGGCAGCTGAGAACAAGGTGCCTATTTCCAGAAGGAATTCTTGCCGTCCTACAAAGCAGCTGGCGACAGAATGTCTGGTCCCAGAAAAAGTTCCTGCCATTACAAAAGGCATTTGGGATGGGTGATCTCAGGACTAGTCCTTGTCTACTCAGAAGGCAACTGGGAGGAGGGTGCCTGTTCTCAGACAAGTTCCTGGTGGCCTAAAGTGTGTCAGGGGGCAATGCATATGGACCAAAAATAATTTCCTGTCAATCCAAAAGGCAACTGGGAGCAAGGCACCTGGCTCCAGAGAGAGTTCCTGTCAGTCTAAAAAGCAGCTGTTGGCAGGGTATCTGGTCTCAGATAAAGCTCCTGTTGTTTTAAAAGGCAACTGGGTACAAGGGCCCATTGCATAAAAAGTTCCTGCTATCCCAAAGTGTAACTGGTGTAGGGTGCCTGGTCTGAGGAAAAGGTCTGGGAGCAGGGCACCTAGTCCTGGGACCAATTCTTGCCTGCCCAGGAGGCAACTAGTGGCAGGGCATCTGGTCCAGATAAGAATTCCTGCCAGTCTAGAAGGTGGGTGGGGGATAGCCACATCTCTGTTCACTGGGAGATTGTGGGGTAAAAGGCAAACAAGGGAAATAACACATTTTTCTGGTCATTAGCCACCAGTTTGGTTGCCTAGGTAGCTTTGGGCTTGGTTTGCTTTTCTTTTCTAGTTCTTCAAGTTGTAAAATAAGGCTATTGATTTGAAACCGTTTTTCTTTTTACTGTAGGCATTTACTGCTGTATGTTTCCCTCTAAGTGCTGCTGTTCCTACATCCCATATTGTCTTAGTATGTTGTGCTTTCCCTTTCATTAAATTATAAGTATATTGCAGTTTTTTAAATTACTTAATTAAATTTTAGTTCTTGAAGGCTATAATAGTCTTTTTGCTCATCAAGCTCCTCTGACTGCTTTTGCAAAAGACCCTCTTCCAAAATGTACATGGACACTGGAGATTCCTTTTGGAGCCTATGTCCAAGTAGTAGTTCAAGGGAGATTCCCTTGTAGCCCAGGAAAGAAACAAACAGAAAAAAACAGAAATATTTAATTATTCCACTCCTCATTTATTGCTGTCATTATTTAATGATAGCTACAGTCAACTGTTTGTTACTGACTTTTCCAAGCTAGTTTTTGGAAAGTGTGTTATGATTCTGTTATCTCTGCAATCATTTCACCAGAGGGTGCTCTAGCCCTTTGAATCTGCTGGCAGGGTGCAATTGTTTCTGGAAAGAGGGCCAAAATTGCTGCAGAAGTCTGCACTCATCCCTCAGTGCCAGACAAGACCAGCTGTGCAAACTATGTAACCCCAAATTCTTGGAGAATGAGAACCCCACTATCTGCCCTGGCACTAGGCAGTTACTGTAAGAATATAAGCCACTGACACCATCACCTTGGAAGGACTGAATAATGGGAAATGATAGCCGGTTGGTGTATGTGGTTCATCTAGAAGGGGGATCAGCAGCTTGTCCTTTCATCAAGTACTCTTCTGGTTGAATTAAGTATACGATCCAGTTACACAATTCCAGTTGCTCATTCCAGTGCTGTTGTTATTTGGGAGGTGAGATGGACTGCTAGAATTACCTACTGTACTATTTTGTATAATTACATGCTGCCATTGAAAGTTTTGAATTCTGTACAGTGCACTTACATCACCCCTCTCCTTTAGTTCTTAAAAGTTAAATCTATGCTTCCCTAGTGTTACTTAGTCCTGTGTGGTTAAGTGTGGGCACTGCTTGTGAGTGTTTGGTACATCCTTTCCTCAGTCACATGGGCATGCAGATGCATCTAATCTGGGGAATCACCCCCTCATTTCTTCAGGTAGCCCCCAGACAAACAAAAATGCACAAATCTATCCACTGGCAAAAGCCAAGTCTATTCCACACACTTCTATTCCAGAGAACACACCCCTGCCAGGGAGTGCAGTTTGTGGTTACACACAATAGCACCCACACCTGTGGAGGTAAGAGAAAGGTGGAACATCTATGGTAGAAGAAAAGAATGGGAAAATTCCTATCATTTGAGAGCAGGACTTTTCTTAATTCAGTGTTTGCTTAAATGCTATAATTCTTTGGTTGATTCCCACAGTTCCGAGACTGTAAATTCACCTGTTTTTGCTTGGTGTTTTCTATTTTCATCGTTGGGAAATGGGAGTGTGCAGCTGCTTATGCCACCATCTTGCCTCAGCGTCACCACTGGTGATATGTCAAATGCAGTCTACACTGTTTGGCACATAGTATTCATTCATTCATTCCACAAATATCTATTACTAAAAAACAAAACAAAAAAAAAAACACAACAGATTCACTGCCATTGAGTCAATTTGACTCATAGTGATCCCTCCTTGGGTTTCTGAGGTAGTATCTCTATGGAAGTAGATTACCCAATCTTCCTTCCAAGTAGTGGCTGGTGGATTTGAACCTCCAGCCTTCTGGTTAGTAGTCATATGCCTTAGGCACTACACCACCAAAGCTTGTGAACTCTAGTTAGTGCCCACTAAAATGCAAGTACTCTTTTAGACACTAGAGACACAGCAGGAATATGGCAGGCAAGTTCTCTAATCTCATGGAGTTTAGTTTCTAAAAGCAGTTCTACTCAATAGACTATGATGAGGAAAATAGCCTTTACTGCACTGTCCAGTACAGTAGCCATTTGCCTCATGTGTCGATTGAGCACTTGAAATGTGGCTAGAGGGATTTCAGAACTGAATTTAAAATGTATTTGTTTTTAATTAATTTAAATCACTGCATGTGTTTAGTGGTTAAAAAAGGTAATTTTTGACAATTCAGGGGATTAAGTCAGTGGAGACAGATGATAAACATGAACAAAAGAATTTCAGATAGTGATAAAAAGCTAAAAAGAGTAAAGCGGGGTGATGAAATAGTAACCAGGGGAATATTTTAAGTAGAGCCATTCTAGTTGAATACCAAAAACCAAAACCACACTCACTACTGTTAAGCTGGATTCAACTCATAGCGACCCCTCCTTGGGTTTTTGAGGCAGTATCTCTATGAAAGTAAGTTGCCCAGTATTCCTTCTGAGGAGTGGCTGATGGATTTGAACCACCAGCCTTCTGGTTAGCAGTCAAATGCCTTAGGTACTATGCCACCAGAGCTGCTAGTTATGGATAAATGTAGAAAAAATAAATTTTGAAGACTTTTTTTTTAAAACTTTACTTCGTAGTATTTGGTTTGGGAACTCTTGTTTGGAGATACAGTGGTTCCTTTTTAGAAAACAATCATGAAAATAAACTCAAATATTTCTATCGTTTTATTAACTTTAGACATTTTCCCCGTAGCCCTGAATTGTCATCTCCAGTTCCTGTTGAAGATACCTCAACATTGGGAGGTATGCTTTTGTACTTTTTTTTTTTACCTACTTTATTTTTAAAATTATTTATACCTTATGATTTGCAATTTTGCAAACAAATACATTTTTCAGCTCACATTTTAAGAAAATCAGGTTTCTCTCTTCTTATATGTTATTCAACAGTCTAAAGAAAAAGTAATTCCTCTTTTTCACTAGTCTAAGCCTACTTGTTGTATAGTATGGTGTTTTGAGTACTTAAAACTTTTATTGTAAAATATAACACAAGTACACAAAACTGCTTAAAACAAATATACAGTCTAGTGAATTACTTTAAGGCAAACATGAAGTAACCACTGCTCACATCAGAAGGTCTAGCTCCTTAAGACACTCTCTACATGCACACTTCCAGTGTTCCCCATAAGAGTACAACTATCTTCACATTTAAAGTAATGTTTATGTTTTAGTTTTCATTGTTTTTTCACCCACTACATGTGGATTCCTAAATGTTATAGCTCAGTTTTGCCCATTTTATTTTTAACTCTTCATTTTAAAAATATATATAAGTTCCTTCCCTATTTCTTGTTTTTCTTCTTGTAATTAATTTGTTGAAGAAGCCAGGCCATTTGTTTTATAGAGTTTCTAGAGCAAAGATATTTCTGATGGAATTCTCATGGTGAAGGTTAACATGTTCCTTTGACCTCTGTGTTTTCTGTAAATTGGTAGTTTTATTCTCTTTAATTTTTTTTTAAAACCTTCTGTTTATGGGAAAATTTAAATATATGCAAAAATAATAAGAAAAGCCTAATGAGACCCAATTGTGCTATCAATCTATAGCCAAGGTCATTTAATTTATACCTTCACTTACTTCCCCTTTCTGGTCGAGTAACTAATTTCAATATTTGTCCCCTTTACTAGACAGTGAGCTCCTTGGGGTTATAACTTTGTCTTTGTACCATAGCACCTTGCAGAGCCTGGCATATAGTAAGTACTTAATAAATATTTTTTGAATGAATGTATGAATGAGCCATAATTTTTCTTTTTCTGGGAAGAGTAAGTAAATGTCTCTTGAAGTTAGAATGCACAGAATTTCCAGGATGAAAAAAGCAGATGTCTTATGGGATGGTTTTGAAGTGAGTTACTTATTTCCTGATCTGAATTCTGAGTTAGTCAGGGACTGAATTCATATACATGTTTTTGTTTTTCTACTTAGGTGCTCCTCTCAGTGTTCAATATCCAGGTGTGGCTTCCTATGAAGGTACCTCAGAGAGCAGCTTGGAAAGACCTGAGGAGAGTGTGAGTGATGTTCTGTTTTGCTATTTCAGTTTCTAACTTGAAGAGTAGAGATTAAGAGAGGGTTTATATTCCATTGCCCGATTGCATAGGACTTGATGTGGTGCCATGTAAATGAAAATGTGGATTCTGAAAGCAGTGCATAAAAAAGAATGTGGGATCCCTTGAAGAGCTGAGTAAATCTGTTCTTACTGGAGAGTTATTGGTGAGGAAGGGCTTGAAATTGGAAATAAAATTATTTGGTGACTATAGAGCTATCATTATGGTAAATTCACATGCTTCTTTTGGACTCTGTGACATGATTTACTACAGAGCTTTTTGGCCTGTGTTCTTCTAACCATTTAATAGATCAAGATATAGTCAACCTTCTCTTCCTCAGATGGCAAAAATACAGGTTTTATGCAGTTTTAAAATCTAGAAATACCATGCTTCTCTAATACATCATTATTAATAGGAACCTGTCAGGGAGCTTTGGTGGTATAGTGCCTAAGGCACTTGACTGCTAGCCAGAAGGCTGGCGATTCAAAACCACCAGCCACTCCTTGGAAGGAAGGTTGGGCAATCTACTTTCGTAGTGATACTGCCTTGGAAACCCAAGGAGGGGTTGCTATGAGTCAGATCTGACTTGATGGCAGTGCATTTGTTTTTATTGGTTATCCCATAAACAAGGAACCTTGATGGAACCATGGGGAAGCACTTGGCTGCTAACCATGGGAGAAAAGATGATCTGCTCCCTTAAAGATTAAAGCCTAGGAAACTCTATGGGGCAGTTCTACTTTATCATGTAGGGTCATTATGAGTCGGAATTGACTCAATGGCACACAACATCATCATCTACTATACAGCATTAAAGCATTGGCTCTTAAAGCTGATCTCTATGACATTCGAATTTTTTGAAAAAATACATACTTCCCACAAAAATGGAGACATTTTGTTAGAAAGCTTGTTAAATTCTGAATTTTTAAAATTTTGAGGTTTATAAATCCTATATTATTTAATATATAGAAAATTTGGATTTAACATGTTCCTAGAGAGGTGAAATTTAGTTGCCTTCCAACTTTCTTTCCAACTTGGACATTTTATTCTATGCAAAATCAGGTTCAGTCACCCTATTCTGCCCCACTACCCTTTCTGTAAGTAAACAAGGGTGGTGGTAGTTTGGGATCTCTACAGAGGATGGTTGAATCCTTTTATTCTCAGTAAAACTGTACAAGGCATATGTGCTAAGAACACATTAACATTAACATTCAATAAGTAATTGTTAATAAACGAATAAAAGAAATACTGTAGCTCTGGTCTTGAAGGTAGTACAACCATGACTTGGGTCTGGAAACATTTGTAGAATGTGACAGAATTCACTCTAATAGGAATGAAAGAATTGTATACAATCAGTTGGAACATTAATATCCAAAACAGAAAAGATGATTTGTAGCCAATTTATAGAATCAATAGGAAAACAAAGCATTTATAGAGATACCTAGCAAGAATTGGATTCTTGTATTTAGTTCAAGGAGCTCTGGTGACATAGTGCCTAAGGCATTTCACTGCTAACCAGAAGGTCCACAGAAGGAAGACTGAGCAATCTATTTCTGTAAAGATTTACTGCCTCGGAAACCCAAAGGGAGTTGCTATAAGTTGAATTGACTCGATGGAAGTGACTTTGGTTTTTTTTGTTTGTTTGTTTGTTTATCCAGTTCAAAATGAAACCCAAGACAGTTTCACATTTTACTTTTTTTCCTAATGTACTTTTCCACCTACTGCGTAGGAAACCAATATAGTACTGTATTTCTGTTTTTTTTTTTTTTTGTAATTACTCTATAGTTGTAATGCATATTTGACTTAGGAAATTTAAAGTTTTGCAAAATCTTTATCCTTATCCTGAAAAATGCAGGAGCTTTGTTATTATTATTATTAGGTGCCATCAAGTCACTTTCAACTCATAGCGATACTGTGAACAGAACAAAACACTGGCTGGGCCTATGCCATCAGCATAATTGTTTCCATGCTTGAGTCCATTGTTGCAACTACTGTGTTAATATATCTAGTTGAGGGTCTTCCCCTTTTTGCTGATCCTCTGCTTTACTAAGCATGAGATCCTTCTCCAGGGACTGGTCCCTTCTGACAACATGACCAAAGTATGAGAGACGAAGTCTGGCCATTCTCACTTCTAAGGAGCATTCCTGCTATATTTCCTCCAAGACAGATTTATTTGTTCTTCTAGCAGTCTATATAGTACATTCAATATTCTTCACCAGCACCACAACTCAAATGCATCAATTCTTCTTTGGTCTTTCCTATTCATTGTACAGCTTTCACATGCATATGAAGCTATTGAAAATACCATGGCTTGGGTCAGGCACACCTTAATTTTCAAAGTGACTTCTTTGCTCTTCAACACTTTAAAGATGTACCTTGCAGCAGATTTCCCCAATGCCCTAAGTTGTTTGATTTCTTGACTGGTGCTTCCATGGACATTGTTTGTGAATCCAAGTGAAATAAAAACTTTGACAACGTCAATCTTGTCTTTATTTATCATGATGTTGCTTATTGGTCCAGTTGTGAGGATTTTGTTTTCTTTATGTTCAGATGTAATCCATACTGAAGACTGTAGACTTTGATCTTCATCAGTAAGTGCTCCTCTGCTTTAATGAAGCAAATGTGTCATATACATACCTCAGGTTGTTAATGAGTCTTTCTCCAGTCCTTGTGCCACGTTCTTCTTGGATTATTTGCTCAGTACACAGATTGAATAAGTATGGTGAAAAACTACAACCCTGATGCACACCTTTCCTGATTTTAAACCATGCAGTATCATCTCATTTTGTTCAAACTACTGCTTCTTGTTCTATGTACAAGTTCCTCATGAGCACAATTAAGTATTCTAGAATTCCCATTATTCACAATGTTGTCCGTAATTTGTTTGGTCTACCCAGTCAAATGCCTTTGTATAGTAAGTAAAACACAAGTAAACATATTTCTGGTATTCTTGGCTTTCAGGCAAGATCCATAAACCCATGCTCATGCATACGTTTGGAAGATGATATTCCCACATACATATTGGTATGTGCTATAAAAATGTCCTTATAGATTATAGAGCTAACAGAAGACAAAGTTAGGATAACTTCTTAGCCTCAACCAAGTACCTTGAGGGAGTGAGCCACTGAATCTGAGGCTTGAGACTATGGTCAAAGGGGACATCAAGATCAATTGTCACCATGTAGTTCACAAAAACATTGTTCTACATCCTATTTTGGGGAGCTCTGGTAGTGTAGTGCCTAAGGCATTTGACTGCTAAACAGAAGGCTAGTGGTTCAAACCCACCAGCCACTCCTCAGAAGGAAGGTTGAGCAATCTACTTCCATAGCAATACTGCCTCGGAAAGCCAAGGACGGGTCACTATGAGTTGGATCCGACTGGACAGCAGTGACTTTGGTTTTTGGTTTGGTACATCCTACTTTGGTGAGTTGGCACGAGGGTCTTAAAAGCTTGTGAACAGCCATCTGAGATGAAGCTATTGGTTTCTCCTCCTCCAGAGCAAAGGAAACTGAAGAAAATCAGGACAAATGGAAACTATCAGTCCAAGGGACCAATGGATCATAGGAACCTCAGCTTACACGACCCTGAGACCAGAAGAACTAGATGGTGGCCAGTTACCAATACCAACCACTTGGAAAGGGATCACAATTGGAGACTGGGGTTAGAGAAAAAAAACATGGAAAAAATTCAAAAACATATAAAGACCAGGCTTACTGGTTGGATAGAGAATGGTGAAACCCCTGAGACTATGGTTCCTAATCTTTGGGCCTGGAATTGATCTCACTCCTCTGGCTCAACTCTTAGCCAAACAGCAGACAGGCCTATGAGCTGAACAACTACACCAGGAAGATGCAGTCCTTAGAATAATCAACCATGGGAGATCAGAAGGGCAGCATTTGCATAGGGAGAAGCCTAGGCAGGCAGCAACTCTAATTAGTGTGTGTTAGTTAAGGATGTGTGTCAGCTTGGCTGGGCCTGGTTTTGAGTTCTTGGGAGCTGTATGCAGTTATTCCCTGTGAAGAGACTGGAATCAACTCCATGGTGGAATCTGCTGTGAACAACTAATTGGTTGCCTTCAGGGTGTGGCCTGCTTCCAGTATGTATGGGGAAGCTTTGAGGAAGGTCCTTAGCTTCTGGCACAATTTAGATCCTGCATTTGGCCTAGTCATCACCTCTAGTTCCTGGACTTGTACCAGTGGCCAGTGTGTTGCCTGCTGGTCTTGGAATTGTTCCTGAACTTGTACCAGTGGTCTGCCATATTGCCTGCTAATCTTGGGATTGTGCCATTTTTCCTGCCAACTTTGTCAGCTTCAGTAGTCTGAAGCTGCCTGAGTCCAAAGAAACCTCTAGTTTACTCAACTGGGCCTGGAGCAAAGAGGCAGAGCTGAAGCTCAAGCTTCAGCCCCTGGAGCCAGCACTCTGAATTTGGACTTCTAGCCACCTAAACTGTAAGAGAATGAATTCCTGTTAGTTAAGCCATCCAATTGTGGTACTTCTGTTATAGCAACACTAGAGAACAAAACAGAGTGTCATTGCAATGCAGTGAATTAGTTGGTATGGCTTTTCTAGCCATAATCTTTGTAAATCCCACTGAATTCCTGGGTGGGACAGTGCAAACAAGGTGTGTATAACTTTGATGTTGGGATTGGTTAGTTTTGTTGCTCTGCCAGGCTTAAAATGAGCCATCCTAGAGGTAGAGAGGAGATCTCACTGCCATCAAAAGAGAAGAGCTGAAGTGGAGCACTTCCTTGGACCCAAGGTCCCTGTGCTGGATCTCCTTGGCTGAGAGACACCACAGCAAAGAGATGCCCCAGCAGAGAGACAGTGGCACTGGAACCAAGAGACATGAGACAGAGCAGCAGGCTTACCTGGTCCACAGAGGAAGAGACCAGGGTGAGAGGCCAAGGGCCAGAGAGGATGTTTGAGGGTATAGCAGAGGAGAGACTGTCCTGACCAAAGAACTGTAT